ATCCATCTTCTTCTGCCAAAACCCATGCTTTTAGAGGTGTATCTCTCGCTCTTTGTGATTGATTAACCTGAAGAAATAACGAAATATTCAGTGTCAACGCAACAAGCACACAAGAAAGCCCGAAAACAATTTCGTTACATTTAATAACAGTGTCAGAAGTGAACTTCTCAAAGCTGCGATCGAACTACAATAAAAAACATTCACTTACTCTGCCCATGATTAAAATCTTCTTGTTTTTTAATACCTTAACGGCCAGTTCTTGCACCCATCCACATATAAAAAAGTTGTACGCATCCATGGATTTTCTGTTTTTCATCTGCTGCCTTGAATAATACGATGTCTGTAGTATGAGGTAATTTACGATGTCTGGATATTCTTCGCCAGGAAAAAGTTTCGGATCAGCTGATAAATCTTTTTTCTTCAAACAGTATGGATCTAATCCATCACAGAGAACTATTTTCGATAAATATCTGGGCTTTGAAGCACCATCCAGTGATTCAAAATACTCTGAAAGCGCAGGTTCACGGCGGTCCTCCATAACTACGAGTTGCTAAGGGGATATTGCTTGTCTCCCAAGATGGCGGAAGCCACCGGCGAGGGCGCTTTTTGTCACGTGATTGCAAGCCAAGAATTATGACTCCCGGATTCTGACCTTGCCTTCTTGCCACATTTCATACCCGTTTAAATTGCCTTTCATTATTTTATCCAGATTTCACCATATTTCATATTTAAACCCAACCTTCATTTCACAGTCACTCTAGTTTTTACTTTTCTAAAATTATTTTACTGATCAAAAGACTTCACTCCCATCATGCAATCTCCCATAGTACTTCCGCAGACACAGCGGCGATCGCCAACATATCTACAAATAACCTCGCTCTAAGGAGCTGAGGAATTACAAGATAAATCATTTGCTTCATTGAACACATACAACAATGCATATTTCCACTGCGATCAGTGACCTTTGATGTGTAGCACCAGTGATCAGTCAAGTAGAAACAGTCAAAATATTTTATCAGATTTTCCCATTTTTTGCATGATATTTTTAAACAGGACATCTGTTGTTCAAACTCAGGGAAGACTTTATACTGATGAATAAGGTGACCAAGTTTGATAAAGTTTGGAATAGAATTAGTAAAGTTATTATGCACACAATAACAATTATTAATAACAACGACTAAGCCGGACAAAATTTTCCCCTTAATATACCTTTCCCTTCCATCTTTGATGGTACGGGCAAGGTAAAAAAATGAAGCCTACATGTATTCTTATTCTCATGTTTATTTAACATTAGTATACACCTAGCTGTGTTAAGGGCTACAATATATTTTGTGATTGTACTTAAGTTATTGACCCTTCACCTGTCCACCTGATCAATGAAAACACGAACTGAATAATCAAGAATTTATGTTGAATAATCTTTTCACCACAAGACCTTCTCATCCAAATTTTTCTGCTCCTTTTTCTTGTATTTTTCAACATTTCTGGAAGTGAACCCTAATTTTGGAGTCAACAGACAAAATTTGAGTCAATTTTCAGTTTTTACTCAAAAAATTTGGTTATTTTTGTCCCCAATCTTCTGAAGGAAAGTGTAGACAATATATAAGGGACTATTTTGTGATGGAAAGAGGGAACTGGTGGTGAAAAGGTTAATCTATTTTTTTTGAAGGTGCACGGTGAGTCAAAGCAGCGTTCGATATTGTGCAAATGACTCATTATGAGTGTTGTCAGGCACAAACCTAACACTGTACAAACACGACATTAAAATGTTCTATTTTATTTTTCTTATTATTTTAATCCATAGAAGGTATATACACGTAATAAAAAATACATGTATACACAAAATGCCTTGTGCATCGCATGCTGTGGTATTTTCTTTAATGCTTCACATCTGATACCCTTGTTGTGTGATACACTCGATGTAAATTCCTTTTTTGGTGAATAACCTCATATTCTTTGAAGTATTAGCGTGATATCCATTAATCCAATTAAGTAAATCCTGATAAACATTATGATGTTGTACGTAATAATGGTTGCAAAAGTGCCATGGCTGAATGCACATCATCATCCAATGAACCATTTGCTATAGATGTGGATTTTACCTACCTACTAGTATCTTTCTATTTTTCTGTCATAGCGTAATGTTTCAAGAGGAATTGCAGGGTAAATTAGCGGGAATGAGTTTAGAAGATGTATATGCTCGAGAACACGAAGAACAACAATTAGGCTTAGAATGGAATAGACAAGAAAATGAACGTGTTCGTCTCATTAGGTAAGTTGAATATGTTTTTTTCACCTCAAGTGGATATCGAAAATTACAGAACTGTAATAATTTAGATGATTTATTTAATTCCTCCATGACTTTGTCTCTGTCAGGGAAATACTGTGTGTGTCTAATATCATTTTTTGGGACATAGGGATCCAACCAGCTTTAGTTTTACAGTTGAACGATAATTTTGGTTTCAAATACTAGTACCCAAAGAAAGTTTTCTAGATTCTTCATTTAATGAGGTGTTAATATGCAAGGGATTTTCTATGCAAAAACAGTGATTAGGGTTGAATTGTATTAGCGGTTTCCTTAATATTACCCCAAAGGATAGTTTGGCTGTGAAAGTTTATTATTTTTGTATGAATTTCTCGGTTTCTTAACAAGTTTTTTTTCTTTAGTTTGAAGTTGTATTCAAGATGGCTGCCCCCCTATAGTAAATATATCTATTTTATTATCACTTGCACACCAGCTGATTGTGATCATGTACTACTGCTGTGGATTTAGTGTGTCTTCAAAACATTTTTTGTTTATTTTTTCTGCAGAGAAGCACGACAGGCCAGAGAAGCAGCAGACAAACAGAAGGCCAGAGAGTTAGGATGGACATTAAGAGATGCATTCAGAGAGAGACTGAAAAATGAAAGAGAAAAAATTGTTGAAACAGAAAAAGTTAGTATAAGATATACGTCACATTTTGTCCTGATAGTGAAGTAAATTGTTATCCAGGAAATTTCCATGGACGTGGTGGTATTTATGTTTTATAAAGATAATTATTATACCTTCAACACACTGATTGGTCAGAACACTGTCATGTTGTCGATAATGAAAATCTGTGACCTTGACATTGTTATTGGTCATTCTCAGTTATTTACAAACAAATATCATCTGCAACAGAATCCAACGTTTTATGATGTGCATAGCTCAATAATTCTCTTTCATGGTCATTGAATATTGACCATCATGAATTAAACAACAAAATTGACTGTAAAATGTAAGAATAAATAAAATTTGGTCTGTAACTGAACAAACTTCATGATAAATTGAGCAAGTTGGCGATGTCACTGAGGAAGTTAAATACAGGTATATCACTGAGCAAGTTCATGATGTCACTGTGCAACTTGATAATGTCACTGAGCAAGTTGGTGACATCACTGAGCAAGTTGATGATGTCACTTAACAATTTGATGACATCACTTGGCAGATATTGCGTATATTAGAATTTAACGAGAGAATGTTGTTAATTGGATGTTTTTGTATCTGATGAACAAGGATATGATTTAAAAATTCAGCAACAATGCCCAGTAACCTTCAACACAATGTTAAAAAGAAAACTTTAAAATTAACCCCAAAGATTAATCGCTTGAGTACTACATGTAGTTATTCATGTGGTCTTATAAACCACTATTGTGTCTCTTGTTTCTTACATTCGGCACTGTGATAACCCTCTCAATAACTGCATACATGTATACAATAGAAAATACTCAACACTAGCAATAGTATTCGTCATCATTGCAAGATCTTACTAGGGATAAAACTGATGGAATGCCTCAACTACTTAGTGTGGGCGCAACCCCAAAAAACTTTTGACTGAAAATTTTGTTTTCACTATTTCACTATTTCGCCATCTCACAATGTTAAATATTTGAAAAAAAAAACAAAATTTGATGGACTGAACCTTTTTTTTTTGTGAGGCCTAATCATAGTTAAATTTTAGATTAGCTTCTGCAATAGTTCCTTTCGTTTTGGGTGGTCCAACTGCTGACGTTGAAAGTCGACATTTTTTCAAAATTTGGAACCCCAAATAAGGGCCCACCAGCCGTGAAATCGCCCAGGGTGATTTTTCGGATGGGAGAATTTATGGCAGAATCCGGCAGTACACGAAATGACAAATAAGAAACTGTGCAGAGGATGATGACATCCCAACTGCATCTCTTTGCTGTGATTAGAGATGATTTGTTGTGAATCCAAAACAAGTTTATTGCCTGTACAAAGCCTTGAAGAATTTATTTCAACACCACAAGTTATAAAAACATCTGTTGCTATTTTAGTTTTATCTAATCAATTTTTTGTCTGCATCAAATATCTTCATCACTAATGGCGTCATTTGGCATATATTGATGTTGCATGAAATAATTCATATAATTTTCTGATGAGGATGGTGTTCTGATCACAAACATTTTCTGTTTTTTTAGGAGGCTAGTAAGTCTTTTATCACCTTGGAAACTTTAGAAGAAGCTATTGAAAAAGCACTTGCCGATGTGAAGGACTACAATTTTGCCATTGACAGGGATGGAAACAAAAGATACAAGACATTCGTTCCTGTTAAAATGTTGTCTGAACAAAGTAAAACTTCAGAAGATCCGGGACCAAGTCTTGATACGACAACATCAGACAGATAGTTGGCTTTGGAGATTCTGGAACTCATGATTTTTTTTATAGTGTTTGTATTATCAATATTTGGTATTTTTCAAGAATGCTCGAAAAGTTGACATACATGTTATATGTTTGAATATAAACCTCAACGTACTGTTTAATACTTTATTTTAGCTGGAATTAATTTTCACTGAGAAAACTTTTTGCGTGTTTTGCATGGCAATTATTTTCACTGTTTTTTCACAAGTTGAATGTAAAATATAGGGGAAAAGGTATATTCGGGAAAAGGTATTTTACAGTATTGCTTTCATTAACAATATGCATGCCAACTTTTGTCACCTTTAACAAACAAAATTTGTTTACAAAATTTTGATCAATATCGGTACCTGTAGATAGCGAAAACTTGGGTTCATAATGTATAAAACTAACAAAGAAATAATGGAACAGTGTACAAAATGTGGGGGGGAATAATTTTCCTGGAATCAGGAATACTCACTTATGGGGTACTGTCACATACGCGAATCCTTTCAGTTTTTACTGAAAATTTAGTAGTTTAAGCTCTACTAATTTGTCTGTGATATAAATAAATTATGATTGTAAGAGTCATCTTTGTCATTTTGTTTTCATAGTTTTTAATAATCAAATAACAAAATACAAGTCTTCAAACGTACCTCATTTTTTTCCTCCATATAAGTTTGTTTCTTCAATTACCAAATAGACACTTGTAATGAAACAGTGTTTAATTTCAAACATTTTCAGCTAAAGTTGAAGGATCAGAAATACAATATTAGAGAATGAAAGCAAAACATGTAAACTGAGCTGAAGATAATATTTTACCAACTGGAGATCACAATTCAAATTTTTGTAAATTTTGAGATGCCATATACTAAAGTTCTATTCACTGATATGTGCGTGATAAAAGTTGTGTACATGTACTTGTGATACTGGTAAAATAAACTTTAAATACAAGAAACTGCCATCACTAAT